CACACACACACATGCACAGCTTTGTGCTATGGGAGAATCAGATTTATTTATGTTAAAATACCCTGCCCCTGCCGCTTAAAAATAGAAGAAACAAAACCGATGCTTTCTTTGAGGAGGCTCTTGTAGTCTCACTTAGACAAACACTTTTCTTTGAGCTGTTTTTTCAACCACCCACCACCCTTTGCACAATCATAAAAGCCTTTTTCAAGGCAAGGAGTGCCTACAAAGAGCTGCTTCTTAATGTCTGAACTTGTTTCCTCTGCATTAGGTCACCATCCCTGTGTCTCAGCTAAACAAGCCTCGCTATTTCTCCCTACTGACTGGTTTTCTGAAAGCCTCCGGCCACCCTGGTGACGCAGCCCCTCATTAGTATTCTCCTTTGCAGACAGGCGTCCTTATAGGGGCCTTCCAGCCTCCCTGTGAAGGCCGTCAAGCTATCAATACACCTAGAGCTCCAGCTCTTTAGACAAGTGGCTGCTTCTAGGAAATTCCTTTGGCAAAGGCAAAATGTCCCCTCTTCAGCACGAAAGTGCCCCAGGGACTGGGTCACCTGGCTCTGGCCACTGTCCTGTCCTCACCTCCCTAGAACAGGCAGCCAGCCCAGGTCCTGTCTCCCTGGTCAAATCAGGACTCCATGAGCATGAGTAGTAGAGAGGAAGGACTATGGGTCAGGGCTTGGACGGCGGGCTTGGCTCTGCCTCTGAGCTCCCCCGTCGGCCCATCTGCAAAATGGGGACAAATGCCCCACACTCGTCTCTCCCCGGGTCCGATGAGAAGATGGTGGCAAACAGTAGGCAAGGGAAGAGATGCCATGCACACCGGTGGCCTCAAGACAGTTCCCCTGTCCCAGCAGCCCGGGCTCACCTGTCCAAACACATACAGCAGCCCAATCGTGCCTCCGGTCTGCCCACCCAGGACCGAGGAGATCATGGAGTAGACGCCACCACTGCCAATGCCACAGTGCTCCCCCACACCGATGCCAGACAGCACGGTGACGAGGGCCACCAGGATGACGAAGGACACCAGAAACATGCCCATGAGCACGCCTGTGTTTCCCTGCAGTGGAATAGCAAGAAGGAAGGTCAGGGTTAGGATAAGGAGGCCCCACGAGACTCCCACCCCCCACCCGGAGCATTGACCACCTACCCCCAGACCCCCAGATGTGAGCAACTGGGAAAGGACAAAGGCAGCACCATCAGAACAAGGCCTGGAAGAAATTCCAGGTGAAGGGAAATGTTCTTGCTTCAAATTGTTCAATGACTTCCCATCACCCATAGGGAAAAGTCAGTGACCTAATCCACTGATGAGGCACAGCTCACTCTGTGCCCCAGCCTGAAGTCACATGTTCGCGCCCCACCACCCCCTCACCATGCTGATCCCTGCCTGGAGTGCCTTTTCTGCTCATTCCACTTTCTTGCCAGGTTCACTCAGTGTTTAGGACTGTCCTCCTCCAGGAAGCTGTCCTTATAACCCTGGCTCTGGGCTCCCACAGTACCTGTGGCTTAGTACTTAGAGTTCTTATCATACTGAGTCTGTTTCCAGGTCGGCCTATACCTCTGGGCCATGAGCTCCAAGAGAGCAGGATTATGTTTGATTCAGTTCTACTTTATTCAGGCAATTTCTTATTTTGCTGATTTTATATTTTAAATGAATTATATAATTACTATTTTCTTCCTTTCTTCGTGCTTTTAAATTGTCTGCATGTGACAATAAAATATCCTGTACCAATCTTTAAATTTTCATACAAAAACTACCACTCTAACATTTTTCGAATCATAAGTATGTTGCCAAATTATTATTTAGAATTAATATTACCTATTTAAAATTCATTTTGCAGTGACCTCAACCTATTTTAATCTTATGCTATCTCCTAGAAGCTCCTTATTTTTGGCATTTCACATTTGCCTTTTTTTCCATGATCAAATATTGTTTTTCAGGTAAAACTAACGTCAGAACCAAAAAACAGAGATCACTTTAGGGTAAAAGGATGTATGTGTGTGGCAGGCAGCCTCAAAGATGGCTCCATTGATCCCCACCTACTGGCCCTTATGCCCTGGTGTTATCTTCTCCCCTTGAGTCGGGGCTGGACATAATGGCTCACTTCTAGAACAGAACACTGCAGAAGTACAGGTCTGCAGTAATAGGATGTCACCTCTGGGCACTTGCTGGCCCTGGGGGAAGCCAGCTGCATGTAACGCGGCAACCCTATGAAGAGGCCCACATGACGGAGCCTGTCAACAACTACACGAATGATCTTGGAAATGGCCCTGCCCCAGGAAAGCCTTCAGATGAGACAACAGCCCTGACTGACAGTTCAGCTATACTACAATTTCATGAGAGACCTGAGACAGAGGCACCCGGCTGCATTGCACCTGGATCCCTGAACTACAGAAACTAGAAGACAACATAAAACATAAGATAATATATTTGTTGCTTTAAGCTGCAATGTGTTGGGATAATTTGTTATGCAGCAGCGGATAACTAATACAACTGTACCTTCACTTTGGGGGTGGAAATGAGACTTGTGGATAGCCGTTTCTCCAAAAAATATAACCAGTGGGAGGGTTAAGAGGAGGCCCTTAAAAAATCAGGATAGAGAGAGGTTACCCCTCTCTCTTTCCACCAGTCCATAATAACCCTTTGCAGTGCCTAGCCAGGCTTTCCTCTGCCACAGCGGTCAGTTGGTGAGCTTCCCTTGGACACAGGCTGGAGAGGTGTCAGGCAGTGAGGAGGCCCCAGGAAGGGGCAAGAACGGAGGTCGATCCCTGAAGCCTTAGGTCGCCTGCCAGGACTAGGAGTCTGAGCTGGAGACTGTGTTTTTGTTAGTGGGAGCTCCTCTAAGTTTGGCAGGAGTGTGGTGGGCATGAATTCTTAGCATCCACACCAGCGAGGTTGCTGACCCTGCCCGAAGCTTTTCACACGTTAATAAAGAAAAAATCAGACCCACCCTGGATGTGGTTAAGGTTGAACGCTGATCCAACAGCTTTTTAAAAGGATGCTTCTACTTTATTTTCAATTCTCACCATTACAAATATTGGATTCTGCAAGATCATAGCTAAAACTCTTTGTTGTGGGATATCAATTTATATACATATAAGGGCTAGATCAAAAAATTCCACTTTGGGCTCTCTGATATCGAATTAAAATGTACATGAATATGTGGTATGAAACTTTTTAAAAAACCTAAATGATAAAAAGTTAAGATAGTTAAGTATTCATTGATATGTCTATCACCTTTATCATAAACAATATACTATTAAGAATTCAACTTTTTTTGAGTCTATAAGTCAGATACTATCAAGCAAACTGCTGTGTATGACCCATAATACTTTAAATTTTTTACCTCAAAAGACAAATAGGAAGATTTAGTAAATTTTAAATTTCCAAATGTTCTCAGAATGCTCAGCAGCATTCTCCAGTTATAAAACACTGTTGGATAATCCATTTACCCTGAATGAACTCTCTGCATGTGTTGTGAGTAGCAATGAAAAGACTCTATGATCCTTTACGGACTATCAGCTCAGGGTACAGGACAAGAGCTTAGGAAGGTCTGGTGCCAGCCAGGCCTCCTGAGGGGGCTAAGAACCCCATGCATTCCACTACAGTGAGGCTTTAGTCTCCTGGAATTTGCCTATGTGATGGTTAGTTATAGGTATCGACTTTGCTAAAGTATGGTGACCAGTTTTTCAGTCAAATACTAGTCTAGATGTTGCCATAAATGTATTTTGTAGATGTGATTAACATTTGCAATCAGTTGACTTTAAGGATACTTTCCCACCATCCTGTGGCTGGGCCTAACCCTATCAGTTGGAGGCCTTAAGAGCAAAGACTGAGGTTTTCCAAAGAAGGAATTCTGTCTCCAGACTGTAACACAGAAATTCTGCCTGAGCTTCTAGCCTTTGTGCTCAAGCGTGAACCATCAATTCTTACCTGAATCTTGCTTTTTGGACTTGCCAGCCCCCACAATCATGTGAGACAATTCCCTAAAATCTCAACCTCTCTCTCTCTCTCTCTCTCTCTCTCTCTCTCTGTCTCTCTCTCTCTCCATATATACATTCTACACCTTGAATGACTCTCACTTTCACCTGTCCAGCCAGCTCACCTTTCAAGGCCTGCTTCAACCATGTCTCCTCCAGGAAGTTTTCCTGGATACCTCAGCAGCCATACATTCACAGCCTATTCCACTCCTGAGGGGTTTAGTGCTGCTTGGAGACGCCTCTTCGATTCCATCTAACCACCAGGGCTGTTAACTCACTGGGAGGACAGACAGGGACTTGTATTTTGTAATCCTACTGGCACACAGCAATACCTGGCACACACTAGGTGCTCATCAATGTTTGATTCTTGACTAGTTGGCCGTGCTGAGTAGCCTGCTGGGTTTACTGAAGTCCCAGGGGAAAGGCATTGTGTGAAGGGCTGAGGACCCTGCTCAGGACACACACTGGCCTGGAAGGTCCCAGGATGCTTTCATATAAGACAGAAAGAAGAGGAAGACAAACCTCCCCCACAATCTCATGTGGGATCTGGCTCTGCATGTAGGCAGTCCACGCCTCTGACCAAACACAGACTTACACACAGGGTCGGGGTACAGTTGGGGAGGCAACCACATGGGTGAGGAGCTGGTGCCACCAGGAGGGCACCACAAGAGTGGGAGACTAGCAGGAAAGCTGGAGAGGGTCACAAATAGGAGGCAGACTTGCCTCTCTCTGACCCACCTCTAGTCCTACCCACCAAGTGCCCTGACTTCTGTGCTCATGTCTGTAATTAAATCCATGATGAGGCTTCCGTTGGGACCTCTGTGTGAGGCTGAGCTTCTCGGATTCTCATTTGAAAAGCAGTGCTAGCTCGTCAATGTACTTGCTTCTTGGTTCATGTTTCTAGAGCATCTGTACTTCAGGAATCTGTTCTGTGACATGCCCAAGAGTGACAGAGCTTCCCAGGTCACAGGTCCACAAGAGACTCCAGGGCCACCAGCTCATCACTCACCACCAGCCAGCCAGTCCTCAAGAAAAGGACAACTCCAAAAATGTTGATCATGCAGGACGTGAACACACCATCCCAGGTCCCAAACAGCACTGGCTCCCATACAAACAGCTGGGTCTTCCACCAGGGCTGGGGCTGGGCCAGCGCCTCCTGAAAACAGAGCGCACAGAAGTCAGCTCAGCAGCACTCAGGGCTGCAAGGGGAGGGCAGGGGACGTGGACCAGGAGGAGGTAGGAGGACTCAGCTTTACAACCCTCCCATCTTACACCCACAGGGAAGCCTCATGTGTGTACACACACACACACACACACACACACACACACACACACACGGTCTTGAAGACTGAGTGTGCCAAAGGGTTGCTCTTCTCCTCTAACAGCAATGACTCCTGCACCCATATGCAGCAGAGACTAGTTGTTCAGCAAACACATTCCCTTTCCTTCTGGCCACTTGGAGGACTACATTTCCCAGTCTCTTTGCAGGTAGGTGTTTATTGTGTGACTGAGTCCTGGCCCCTGGAATGTGGGTGGAAGAGCTACTGCCACTTCTAGGTGAGTGTGGGATTCCGGGTTCCAGCTCAGGCTGTGGTCATGAGCTGTGCGTAATGTCATTGTCCCTTTCAGCCCTCTAATCCTAGAGGGGGCAGTAGCTTCCAGCAGTCCCTAATCTTTTTTTTTCTTAATTGAAGTTTATTGGGGTGACAATGGTTAGCAAAGTTACATAGGTTTCAGGTGTACAATTCTGTAATACATCATCTATATATCACATTGTGTACTCACCACCCAGAGTCAGTTCTCCTTCCATCACCATATATTTGATCCCCTTTACCCTCATCTACCACCTCCATCCCCTCTGGTAACCACTAAACTATTGTCTGTCTGTCTGTCTATGAATTTTGTTTCTTCATTTGTATTTCCGGTTCTTTTGTTGTTTTCAGTTTTATATACCACATATCAGTGAAATCATATGTTTCTCGATTTTTTCTGTCTGACTTATTTCACTTAGCATAATAATCTCAAGATCCATCCATGTTGTCACAAATGGCAGTATTTTGTCTTTTCTTATGGCAGAGTAGTATTCTATTGTGTATATATACCACATCTTCTTTATCCAGTCATCTATCGAAGGACACTTTGGTTGTTTCCATGTCTTGGTCACCATAAATAAAGCTGCAATGAACATCAGAGTACATATATTTACGGATAAATGTTTTCAGATTTTTTTGGGTAGATACCCAAGAGAGGGATTATTGGATCACGTGGTAATTCTAGTCTTAATTTTTTGAGAAACCTCCACAGTCTACGGCCATACCACACTGACCACACCTGATCTGGTCTGATCTTGGAAGCTAAGCAGGGTCGGGCCTGGTTAGTACTTGGATGGGAGAAACCTCCACACTGCCTTCCATAGCGACTGCACCAATCTGCACTCCCACCAACAGTGTATGAGGGTTCCTTTTTATCCACAGCCTCTCCAACACTTGTTATTATTTGTCTTGTTGATGATAGCCATTCTAAGTGGTGTGAGGTGATATCTCATGGAGGTTTTGATTTGCATTTCTCTGATTATTAGTGATGTTGAGCATCTTTTCATGTCTATTGGCTATCTGCATGTCCTTTTGGAGAAATGTCTATTCAGGTCCTTAGCAGTTCCTAATCTTTGGGTAATCTTACTTTACGTTTTTTTGCTCCTCCAGCCCTTCTAACACTTCTGTAATGAATTCTGCATAACAAATTCCCCTTGTTTAAAATACCTGGAGTGGTTTCTGTTTTTCTGCTTGAACCCTAGCCAATGCAGTGATTGCTAAGCCCCCTTCCAGGATTCTAAGGCATCGTGTCGCAGTTGTCTAGAATGAGAGGCTAATAAGTGATTAAATAGATACCTCCTTCATTTTTCCAATTCACAAATAACAAAGACACTTACAGAACACTCAAACGGAAACTCTTTACTAAAAAGACTAAACCTAGTGGAAATACTAAAACGATCTTAAACAAAACCAGTAGCAATGCATGCTGTGAACTGCTCTTCCATAGGTTCAGTAATTAGCCTGAATCAGTAGAGTCTTCCAATCCCCTCACACAACCATAGCGGTGATCAATGATTCTGGCCTGGGAATCCACTAAGGACCACTATGAACCACTGGGTGCCATGAGTCTAACTGGGGTGTACATGTGATCTATAAACACAGTGATATGGCAGAAAGAGTACAGGAGGAAAATCAGTGTCAGGGGGCATGGCTCCTGAGTAGCTGAAAACCATGAACCATAATTCAGGGCCAAAGGTTGAGGCCAACTGTACTTGATCAAAACAAAAGGAGGGGACCCCAGCTCCTCTTCCCCTCTTGTGTCATACACTCAGAGATCAAGCAATCATCAGGGACATCACTGAAGCCATAAGGGACAGATGGGCCAGGGGACTTCTTGGTGTCCTCTGTCAGTCCCTGACTCCAGTTGGAACCCCTTTTTTATGTTTGTATTTCTGTCCATCTGTCTTTTCACAAACCACAAATGAGGAATCTCCTGAAAGTCAATACATGTGAGAACAGTGATCGTGGCTCAGAGCGAGGACCCTGCCAACCTATGCTTGTCCTTGAACAAAGGGTACCAAGGGACTGGTTTGCTGAATGTAGGATTGTTTTCCAGGATCCTAATCTCAAAATTCAGGACATGGCCCAGCTTCCTGTCTCTGCTTGTGCTCAGCTTCCTACCGTGGCTTGTTACAGGCCCATTATTTATTAGAAACAGTAATGACAATAGCAACTATCAGCCACAAAGAGTAATAATTTAGAGTGCTGTCAGCTCCCACATCCATTTTCTCCTCTGATCCTCACCGCACCCCGGGGAGGCAGGCAGGGAGAGCGCCCCTGATTACAGCTGAGGAGAGCGCCTGGGAGGAGACACGACTGCCAAGTCCACAGTTGAGGCCTGAATCCCTTGCTTCAGGCTTTAATATCTGGACTTGGCCTTGTGTCACAGGTCACTTGCCCTTTTCTCTCATAAATTTCCATCTTTCAGGTTTCAATTTCTAACATCGTGGACTTGGCTTAGTTGCGAATGTGTCTGCCTTACCCATAAAGTTCCCATTGCGATTTTAGAAACTGTATTCCTCTTTTACCCCAGCCTTCCTATTTCTATTCTGAAGGCTGTTTTTGCATATGTGTTTATTTACCTAATGGCATAAGAAAGGCCTTTCACTCCCTGGGTTTCACTGGACTAAATCAGCCTTAAAGGCACCTCCATCCATCCCCAGGTGCTTCCCAAAAGTCACCTCATCAACATAAACCTAATAGTGGTTGGAAAGGGCTTGTGATGAATATCAACACACCTTTATCACTCTTATCACTTAGGAAGTTCCAAGGGTTTTAGGAACTCTGGAATGAGGATGAAAACCAAAATATATTTCTTATTATAAATCACAGTATCACAACTGGCTACTCCACCACCCCGCGCTCGCTCTGCTCTGCCTGCCAGCTCTCTCGGGTTCCCTTCAGCTCCTGCTCAGATAGGCTGAGGGCAGAGCCATGGGTCTGCAGCGTAAGCAGATAGCCAATAGGAGGACAGACATCAGCTTCTCCCATGCGGGACCTCAAACCCCACGCCCTCCTCTACGGGAAGGTAAGGAATCCCTCTCATGTAAAATACGCCATCTCTCAGACTCTCCCTTTGCACCTCTACCCAGTCCTTTCTGTCACCCAGGGGAGGGGGAACAGCTGGGGTGACAAGAGGTGACAGTAGGAACAGTTTTGGGCTGTCTTATTAAGCCCCATGAGAGAAGTCTGGCCCCAACTGTTGATAACTCTTAGACCCTCAGTCTCCTCAGATGGAGGCCCCAGTCATCAATTCCAAAACAAGAATCCAATTCAACATCCTGTGACATACAGTACAGGTTGTGGGGGAGGGAGGTGACAACAGGATGTGTGCTGCTCCCCAGAACGGAGTCTGTTGGGAGGCAGAGGTGGGGACTAAGGATGACACTGCAAACGTGCTCAAGGGCCAGGTTCCTCTCTTCCCTGAGGACCCTCAACTTGGCAGGGACAAGCTTGGCAGGTTCCAGAGTCACAGTGACTTGGAGCCTGGACCCTGGTGATCACACCTCCATGCTGCTCATTGCTAGGTCTTTCCTTCCTGCGCTCCCAGGACTAGAAGCCAGGCTCTTGTCCCTCTGAGTTCAGGGGCCTGTACCCCACACTGGAACACCCCGGCTGTCTGGTGGGTGTTTCAGTTCAGAGGTAGGAGTCCTTTTCCAGTGAACAGAGAATCTGTACACCTGAGTGGGGCATCTAGAAAAGGGGGGAAACTGCCCCTGAAATGTGCCCCGAGGAGGAAACACTCTGCTTCCTGCACTCAGAAAACCGAGGTGAGAGAAAAGCACCACAGGCGATACTGTGAGTTCACGCCCAGGAGCATTTGGTCTCAGACAGCCACCTCCCTCCCGCAGGCCACTTGCCAGCCCTTAATGAACACATCTGAAATGTGAGGTGACACCTCTTCTCTCTTCTGGCACCGGGAGGAGAAGAAACCAGGTGAGAAACCCTGTTTCTGCCCACTCTGGTCAGGAGTGAGTCAAAGCAAGACGCAGCCTGCTCCTTTCTTCCAGACACTCACCTGCGGAGGCTGGCTCTGCCTGGAGCACACACGTGAGCCAGCAGTTTGCTTTCCAAAAGCTAATTATTAATTATTAATTACACATCAGGGAATATCCCAGGCTGGGACTGAGCTGTGATCAAGTGGGCAGAGTGGGCACAGCATTCCTTTCCTCTGGCGGAACAGGTGCCACGTGCTGGAGCTGGCAGGGGGCCAGCACAGCCACGGGCTCCGTGGGCCGGAGCCCACCTGTGGTAACCAAATGAGATCAGATAGCTATGTACCTGCATCAGGGGTTTGTGTACAGGTTAGATGAGACGATAACTGGGAAAGCTTTTTGTAAGCACGAAGTACAACAGACAATTTTAAATGTGGGCAAGGATGTCTTCATGGAAGTTGGGAGGAAGAGAAAGAAAAGAGTTCTTATTGAGGGTGCATTTTTTACTTTCCTGGTTACCTTGTCCTCATGTTTGAGGTGAATCCCTGCTCTACAGCACAGCCCTGAAAGCTGCCTCTCCAAGCCCTGCCCAGTCCCAGCCCTTCTGTACTGCACCAGCTCTAGAACAG